AATACCAAACGGTAAACGTTTCCATTTATACCGACCGAAAGGCGTTCCAAACGTCATGAGGAGGGAAGATTCTTCATCCCAAGGGACTTGCCAATAACCATTGAGACAGTCCAACTTGGAGAAAACTTTTGCTTTACCAAGCTCAGGTAATATATCTTCAATGGTCTGCATGGGGTGGTGACATCTCTTGAGTGCCTTGTTAAATGGACGAGGATCTAGGCATAGGCGAATACTTCCATTGGATTTCTTTGCAACAACAATAGAATTTATCCATTCTGTAGGTTGATACACTCTCTCGATTATACCTTTCTGTTCGAGCTCAGCTAGGTGGCTTCTCTATGGATCTTTCATGGACTCAGGTATTTTTCTCACTGCTTGTTGTACAGGTTTCACGTTTTCTTCTAGTTCCAAATGGAGTTTCGGTCCAAGCTGCCCCAGTCCCTCGAAAATATCTTTGTATTCGCTAGTGATCTGTTCCATGGTCAATCCAGTTTGACTTGATTCTGGAGAGGTCAATATGGAATGCGTCGACCTTTCCGTCGGACTTGACTCTGATGACGTCATCGTGGCATGTGAATCCCCTTTCTGGTCTGACTCTGACAGAATTTTCATGTTGTCGTAATTCACAATAACAAGACCCATCTGCTGTGCTGCTCGACTACCTAGAAGATTCGTACAGTTCTCAGGGCCGTCGCGAGCGGGGGGGTGTGGGGGGGTGCTCCACCCCCCCAATAATTTTCACAAGTCGGCCCCAGTCGGCAAATTTCTTCGTTACTGTTCGGCAAATTGCGAAATCGGCATTCAGCAAATTGTAAAAGTTAAGAACGAAGGCGATAAATAAAGCGATAAATTTTGGATTTAAAATAATGGTTTGTGTGGTCTTATGTCAAAATCATTTAAATGTATTTCTATTTTCTAGTAAAACTATTAGTCTTTTATTTGTCGAAAATCGACGGGAGGCTGAAATGTGAAACCCACGTTTCCGGGCATGTTCTTCGCTCGACTGCTCTTATAGCGAAGGATTTTTATCAATTATGTGCGGTTCAAAACTGCCCAAAAGAAAAATAATAAAACTTTAGTGTCTTGAATGTAATTCGGTTTTTGACGACTATAGAAACTTTATTATTTATTTCACGAGGGAAAACGTATTAACCGGCATAAAAGTTATCTAACATACGGCCCGACGATTAACGTAAGAGGCACGAGCAAACTTGCCATAAGGGAAACCAAGTGCGAGTAGCACATAAAGACGTGCCAGCTAATCCGTTTGAGACTGCAAACCGCAGTCAAAGCCAAAGAGAATATTTTGAGTCGTCAGAGGCGCAAGATCCTCAAGAAGACTCCACAGGCACCGATGAGAAGAAGACCAAGAGAAAGACGAGGCATGCCATAAGAATGGACTTGTCTTCTTTAGTTCTTTAGCGAAATTACTGTTAACTCTTATCAGCCTACAGTTTTGAAAGACATACCGCATACAGCGATCGGTATCATCGATCGGTTGCATATGATCATATCCGTTTTACTCGCTTTCTGACGCATAAAATTTAATTAAACTCTTGAAAAATCGGGTCGTACAAAAGCCCAGTTAACCCTATCCGGTACTAAGAGTGTTAAGACTGCTCAAAATACAAAAATATTATAAATTGTGTATTCGGCGCCCTGGGATAAAAAAGGTCAAATTCATCAAAATTCATCAAAATTCGGTTTTTGGTTGTAATGCGTTAATTTCTGAAACTGAAAGTACCATTTTCACGTACGGTTCTGTTCACACGAAAACGTATGAAAACGACGTCAGGAAGCAAAATCGTTTCAAATAGTGAAAACGATGCCAAAGATTCGTTCTCTATGTCTGAAACTTTTGGTCGTTTTGACACTTTGTTATTGTGTAAACAGAAAAGTAGAAGGCGAAAATGAAATTCCGTGTTTATATTTGGAAACGAAGACTATAAAAAACTAGTGCTTTGTCTGAAAATGTTGCGAGAAAAACGATCAATGTGAACAAGGCGCCTAAACGCTAAATTTGAAAACGGCACTGCAAAAACGCTCAAAAACGTGACCCGTGTGCACATAGTTTCAGTCTCGATTTAGGACTTATGAAAACACAGTATAAATTTATGGTAAATTTAATTTTTTTCCAGCTTTATATGTTTAATATAAATAAATTAAAATAATACTCCTATCTGAAAACAAACGCACGAAAATAAAATAGTGCTAATCATTGAAATGTGGTTGCAGTTATTGCAATTGTGTTTTTCGATTTCGTGACCATATATTTGTTTGTTCTTCGAATGTCGTATTTTATATATAAAGCAACCCGATTCCTTTTTAGCAACAACCCACGAACAGGCATCCATATTTCAAAACAAGAGCCATATTGGTGTCCCTCAGTTACTAGCACACCAATATGATTCTCATGCATTACCTATACAAACTTTTCTTCTCATTACCTATACAAACTTTTGAAAAACTCGGCAAATTCAACTAGCGTCACTCGGCAATTTGACCTTCGACACCCCCCCAATCCATATCCCTTCGCAACGGCCCTGTCGGGGAATATTTACCGAGACAAAGTCGAGGTGAATATTTCCCGATAATCACCGAGCCTGAGGCGAATAATTGTTTTAGTATTTTTGCACAAGTTTTTTGTGTTTTTCTTGTCTGAATTCATTTTAATTTCGCTTATTTCTTTATCACTAACTTCAACAAAACGGCTAGCCGCCATTTTGACAATTTCGATTTTGTTATATTCACCTGTAGGTGAATATAATAGATTAATACGTCCAATTTGACCAATCACCTTGTAGGATTTGTCATGTTCACTTGTGCAAAAATGCTAATAAACGATATCCTTCAAATACACCTCAAATATTGTATGTCGTACGTTATTTTGCGTTCTGCGCATAGCAAGCGCACACGACAATACAATGCGCTAAATAAAATTTACTTCAAAACCCCCTCTCTGCACATATTAGAATTCTGCTTCGCTCGCTCGCTTCAAGCTCTTTCGCTACGCAGCAATAAAAAAAGAATCCTTGATTATATAGCTTCAAGTTGAGACCCGTCGTTAAATTGTCAATATTGTCGGAATCTTTGTGGTGAAGCATCGGAAAAAGTGATACGGCAATCGGGAAAAGTGCTACGAAAGCAATTGTGATGTCCGAAATTTTTTTTACCAAAAAAGGTGTCGACGGGGGGGGGGGGTTGTCGGAGAGATTTAAAATGTTGTGGTCCGAAAATTTTTTGCCCCCACCTGGCCCCATCTGACCAAAAATCCTGGCTACGCCTCTGCGATTTCATCCGATGTTAGCATGTCAAAATACTCACTTAGATCAGAGATGAGCTTCACTCTTGCCATGTTAGGTTTCTGCGCAAACTTACCTATGAAGGAATTAAGGGATTAAATATTTTATCATATTACATAAAAATGGACAGTTATAGCTCCCTCGCATACGAACTGCTTGTATATACGATTCTTGAACTTACCCCAAAATGAATTTAACATCAATTTTGCAAGTGCACGTAATCCAGGATTCTTTTCTATTTTATCAGGTTCAAGCCTGATTCCTTCCTTGTCAAAATACTCGTCAATATATTGCTGACGCTTCTCTGCGGTATTGCAATCTTTTGGAAATCCACTCGCTTGTTGCTTGATCTTCAAGAAAGTGTCAATGTAGTCAGTAAATAAATTATCACTCCTTTCTGGAAAATGCCAAACTTCGTGAATTTTTTACTAAACGATAACCCATTTCCAAAGCTTCAATTCCAGCGTAACCCACGTCCCTTCCTGCAGAGCTCGCTCTTGATCGGTGTGATGGCAGCGTTCTTGCTGCAAATTATCAGTACAAGTTTTACAAAGCGGAAACATAAGTTTACCGTGAGCTCTGTACGGTAAAACAGGATGAAAAAGGCCCCGCGGAGGTACAACGACGCATTTGACTAAGCCAAAGTATTCTGATACATCTTCAGAAAAGTTTTCTGTAATAATCTCAGGATTTTTGAGGATATATGGGCAATACTTATTGGACTATGGGTAAAGGATTGTGTAGTCCATATAAAATACTTTTTCATCCTCTTGACATTGATAAAACAGTTTCGAAGCATTTGTTCTACCACCATACAGCGCATTCCGGGGCTCAAGAGGTTCGGATATTTCAAAATTATCAAAGAACGCTTTCATTTCCGGGTCATATTCAATCATGCGTTTAAGCTGACATCCCCACATTTCAACCACATTGTAACCTTCAGAACCCATCCACCCTGTATTTGCCTATTCGCTGTTCCCCAAAATTTCGTGCATGGCGTATGCAAATTCCATCTTTTTCGGCAGTGTATGCCAGCCATTTCAAAGCAATAATAGATTGTTTGTCTCGTGGCCTAAATCCATGTGGTGGAATAACAGCAATTGTTTCTTCCTTAAGGAAATTGGTCCGAAACACAAGATTACATGCTGAAGCGATTGTTAGGCATTTTTCAAACGGATCAATATCAGTAATAGAGCGGAAAAGTTCACGAAACTCCATGCAACAACGACGGAGAATGTCTACGTCAGATCTACAATATTTTAGAATTTCTTCTTGAAAGTTGAAAACATAATTG